AATTCACTGGTACACACTAAATCACTCGTACACACTAAATCACTCGTACACACTAATTCACTCGTACACACTAAATCACTCGTACACACATCACTCGTACAAACTAAATCACTCGTACACACTAAATCACTCGTACACATTAATTCACTCGTACACACTAATTCACTCTTACACACTAATTCACTCGTACACACTAAATCACTCGTACACACTAAATCACTCGTACACACTAATTCACTCGTACACACTAATTCACTCTTACACACTAATTCACTCGTACACACTAATTCACTCGTACACACTAAATTCACTCGTACACACTAATTCACTCGTACACACTAATTCACTTTTACACACTAAATCACTCGTACGCACTAAATTCACTCGTACACACTAAATTCACTCGTACACACTAATTCACTCGTACACACTAAATACACTCGTACACACTAAATACACTCGTACACACTAATTCACTCGTACACACTAAATCACTCGTACACACTAAATCACTCGTACACACTAATTCACTCGTACACACTAAATCACTCGTACACACTAAGTCACTCGTACAAACTAATTCACTCATACACACTAATTCACTCGTACACACTAATTCACTCGTACACACTAAATTCACTAGTACACACTAATTCACTCGTACACACTAATTCACTCGTACACACTCGAACACACTAATTCACTCGTACACACTTGTACGCACTAATTCACTCGTACACACTAATTCACTCGTACACACTAAATTCACTCGTACGCACTATATTCACTCGTACGCANTAATTCACTCGTACATACTAAATCACTCGTACACACTAAATCACTCGTACACACTAATTCACTCGTACACACTAAATCACTTGTACACACTAATTCACTCGTACACACTCATACACACTAATTCACTCGTACACACTAATTCACTCGTACACACTAAATTCACTCGTACACAGTAATTCACTCGTACACACTAATTCACTTGTACACACTCGAACACACTAATTCACTCGTACACACTTGTACGCACTAATTCACTCGTACACACTAATTCACTCGTACACACTAAATTCACTCGTACGCACTAAATTCACTCGTACGCACTAAATTCACTCGTACACACTAAATTCACTCGTACACACTAATTCACTCGTACACACTAATACACACTAATTCACTCGTACACACTAATTCACTCATACACACTAATTCACTCGTACACACTAAATTCACTTGTACGCACTAAATCACTCGTACGCACTAATTCACTCGTACACACTAATTCACTCATACACACTAA